ATTTAGGTTAAACAATGATGCGACAACGCATCTCCTTACCCGAAGTAAGGATCTTGTGCCTATAAGCACACTTTGCCAAAGCCCGTTCGTCTGGGAAATTTGATTCCTATATCATTTCTCGCAAAGATACAAAATCACCCTTTTTCATAGTGGATTAAAGGGAATATATGTGGACTAATCCAACTAAAATGGGGACCATACAAATACTTATGGTTTTGGTTGATGAATCGGCAAACTGGTCACATGTGTGTCTACACACATTGCTACTAAACCTTCTGGCCGATTAAGGGTTCACCACTCTATTTATCCCTTAAATAATGTCGGAGAGTTTATATCAACACTTTTAGATAAAGTTGTGAACACGGAAAATTCCTGAAACGAAAGAGACAAGAACAACGCGCACAAACAAAATATTTGGTGTTTGATGATTTTGGGTTACAATCTCTCTCTATTTTGATCCTCTGATTCGATCTCCGTAAGGTATTGATTTGTGGATGTGTCCTTGATCCAAGGGCCGTCGAGGCTTGATCTTGGATGAACTGTTGGAAGTTTCTTCAAGGGGCCGTGGGCTTGATCTTTGAAGGTGGATTTGAGCAGATCTTCAAAGGGGCTTTTGGGCTTGATCTTTGAAGAACAGTGACGAACGGATCTCCAAGGGCTTTTGGGCTTGATCTTGAAGAACAGTGATGAACGGATCTTCAAGGGCTTTTGAGCTTGATCTTGAAGAACGGTTGGATGTGTGGATTTGTCGACGTTGTTGATCCAAAGGGCCGTTGGGGCTTGATCTTGGATGAACGGATGATGAACGATGGTGCTTTCTTCAAGGGCCGTCGGGGCTTGATCTTGAATTGGTGGATGGTTGATCCAAGGGGCCGTTGGGGCTTGATCTTGGAAGAACGATGAACGAAGAACGAGGAACACTTTCTTCAAGGGCCGTCGGGGCTTGATCTTGAATTGGTGGATGATTGTTGATCCAAAGGGCCGTTGGGGCTTGATCTTAGGATGAACGATGAACGAAGAACGCTTTCTTGATTCTTCGGGAACCTGGATGCTTGAGAGCTTCGGAGTTTCAGAGCTTCAGAGCTTCAAGAGTTTTGCCTAATGATTTTTGGTCCCCCCTAAATGAATGAAATGGGCTTGTATTTATAGAAATTTCCAAGGCCTAATTTTGAATATAATATTCCAGATGAAATAAGTTGTTTCTACCAGGTGTTGACACGTGTCTTATTTGATGACTTTTCCAACTCATTTCAATTTTCGTCGAGTCACACGCAACGTGTAAAATTTATGTAATACATGAGCGTTGACACTTTGATTTATCGGTCAACATTATTTACCGAAATTTCGATGTCTACAAATGCCCCCACTTCAAGGCACGTCTTATACATGTGCTTGTCACGTGTAGGAGATGCGTTTTGAAGTCCCTTACTGTAGATGTCGATCCAAGGGCCGTTTGAGGCTTGATCTTGAATTGGGCTAGAGATTTCTTCAAGGGCCGTTGAGGCTTGATCTTGAATTGGGCTTGAGATTTCTTCAAGGGCCGTCGAGGCTTGATCTTGAAGGTTGAAATTGGACCACAAGGAGCTTCATGTGGTAGATGATCTTTTGGCTTTGGTAGTGGGTGAATCGGCACGTATTTTGTTGCGCTTGTTGACTTTCCACAGCTTTGATCTTGAACTGGGTTGGAGGATTTTCTGGATTCCTCCAATTTGTTGATTTTCCACAGCTTTGATCTTGAACAGGATTTTGATTCGAGGGTGGTAGACACTTGATCTTGAATCGGACTTGTGATTTTCTTCAAGGGCCGTCGAGGCTTGATCTTGAATTTGGTTGGAAGCTTCTTCAAGGGCCGTTAAGGCTTGATTCTTGAAGGTTGACTCGAACACATGGCAAGCAGGCACGAGGTGAAGGTGACGACTTGTTGCTTTGTTCAATCTTTCTAGTTCACACCTGAGCAGTTTGGTCAACGGTATGATCTTCAAGATTGATGGGCTTTTCTTCCAGTTGGTGACTTGATCTTTAAGGATTCGGTTTAAGGGTGGTGAATCGGCACGTGCAGCCTACAACGCCTAGTAAGTCGACCCAAGAATTTGAGGGTCAAAACGAGTTCTTCATCTCAGACTCTTTCTGCCGAGTTGGCTGTGCATGCTGCATTCTTCTCTGCTTGTTTCTTCAGGCAGATATGGCAGCTTCTCGAGTTCCTCAGTTCGGACTCCTTCTGCTGAGTTGACTGTGCAGACCACATTCTTCTCTGCTTGTTCCTTCTGCACGTTGTCTCCACATGCTTCAAGGTATCATTTTCACTTGCCTTATCTGTTCTCTGGGCAGATATGGCAGCTTCTTTGAAAGTACAGCAGCAGTGGGGGGGCGAGTACTCGAGAGCAGTGCCAGGTAGGCAATCAGGGAAGGGTTCCAAGCAGTCGGTTCCTTACCCGAGTTTGAGTGGAGGTTCCGGCATATTGTTTTCTTTATCCTTGTCTTTGTAGGTAAGAACAAGGACAAAGGAAAGGACAGGGAAGACGCATGATATGAGATACTCTTGCTTTCTACCCTGGTGATATGAGATACTTTTGCTTTGGTGTCATTTGTTTGCTGAGGTACCCCAAGGAATATGGAACACTGAGTAACTCGAGAGGCTTCGTTGGGAAGGCATTCTCGGAGATGAAGGAATGTTCTGTATGTCTGCCTTGCTATGGAGGGTGAATGTGGATAGTTATAGGGAGTTCCTTAATACCTGTAGAGGTACTGCTCTTTCACTCGTGTCAGTAACCGATGCGTGATTGATCAGCATGGCTTCACGTGCTTTCTTCTTTATCAGAAATCTTCGACAAATTGTCCGTAATTTCCGCTAAGCTGAGTGTGCATGTGACAGGCGTCGACGCGGCTGAAGAAGACTGGCGCTTCTTCGATAACTGGGATCGGCGCTTCGACAAATCACCCGTGATTTCCGCAAAGCTGAGTTTGCGTGTGATGGGTGTTGACGTGTCTGGAAAAGACTGGCGTCTCTTCGATATCTGGGATCGGCGCTTCGATTTTTGAATCGGCATTTTCGAACTCTAAGCTCACCTCTTCGATCTCTGAAATCTCGTCGAGTGCCGATTTTTATATATATATATATATATATATATATATATATATAGAGGCACGCAGTTCGTTTCAAAGCACACTTGAATTTCCGCTTGTAGAAACTCCCTTCTTGCACTTCTAAGATCTTAATCTGTCTGGCCTCTTCTTTCTTCAACACATTTGAAAATGTCTGGACCATCCGACCGTCGTTTTGATTTGAACCTTGGTGAAGAGGCAGTTCCGCCTTCCCCCGACAACATATGGCGCCCATCATTCATATCCCCTACTGGTCCTCTTACTGTTGGGGATTCGGTGATGAAGAATGATATGACTGCTGCGGTGGTGGCCCGGAACCTTGTCACTCCCAAAGATAACAGACTACTTTCCAGGCGGTCTGATGAGTTGGCTGTTAAGGAGTCCCTGGCTCTTAGTGTGCAGTGTGCGGGTTCTGTGTCCAACATGGCCCAACGCCTATTTGCTCGAACCCGTCAAGTTGAATCGTTGGCGGCTGAAGTGATGAGTCTCAAACAGGAGATCAGAGGGCTCAAGCATGAGAACAAACAGTTGCATAAGCTCGCACATAGCTATGCGACAAACATGAAGAGGAAGATTGATCAGATGCAGGAATCTGATGGTTAGATTTTACTTGATCATCAGAGGTTTGTGGGTTTGTTCCAGCAGCATTTGCCTTCGTCTTCTGAGGCTCTGCCGACTGCTGAGGCTTCAAACAGTCAACCTCCGGCACCTACTCTTCCTGGAGCTCCGTCGAGTTGTGAGGCGCCACCTAATCCTCCTTGAAGATCCCCTCTTGTAATTTTGAGTTGATTTGATTTTTTTTTTTTTTTTTTTTTTAAGGTATGTACACATTTATGTAAAATTTCCAGAAAAATAAAATGGACTTCTATTTCTCTTAATGCATTTGTTGTTGTTTTTATTTTTTTATTTTTTTTTATTATGCGGTGCCAACCGCACCATCCTACCCATTATTTCTTATATATATATATTTATTATTATAATTTTTTTATATTTTTTTTTTATATTTTTATATTTTTTTATTTTTTTAATTATTTTACGTCTGCTTTCACATGGTGCTTGATCCACCATTCCCCTTTTTTTCATGTGGTGCCAGACGCACCACCACCTCTTTTTTTTTCTTTCTTTTGTTTCACGTGGTGCCAGCACCACTTTGCTCCACCATCCCCCCCCTTTTTTTTTTTTTTTTTTTTTTAATATATTTTTCTGTATAAATTTGGGTGGTGGGTAGAGGAATTTGCAGGGAGCGGAGCAAGGAGAACGGAGAAGATGGTGCTTCGAGCTTCACGACCGGCTAGTCGTTTGACGGCGGTCGTTGAAGTTCTTTGCTATCATGGTGGACATAGTGACGAGCTCGAGGGAGGCCAGGCGCTGCGGTGGATCACATTCAAAGGCAGTAACAGAGCAACGGAAGCACACCAACCTTCGAACCCAAGCCCAAGACATCAACCCTTGGAACACTTTCGGAGATGAGGATCTCAAACAGTAGGCTATCGAAGATCTGGTGGCGATTGAAGGAGAGAAATGTGGGAGATGAACTCGCGATTTTCCCAATCGGCTTGGACCGCTATCCCAACGTTCACTGCCGACGGACTGATCCCCCAGGAAGACGAGCTTGTACCTGGCGGGAGCCGAAACGGTAGCCATGGCAATTTCAGATCTATGAGGATCGGACCGGGTTAAAGGTCGAGATCCCGCTGGAGATTGATCAGACAGATCGAGATCTCGGAGCCTCGTTCGAAATTCGCTTCTCACATTCTCCCTCAGCATATCTCGCCATAGCACGCCTCGAGAGTCCGACCATATGAAGAATTGAGTCAGGTGAACCAGTGACATAAGAATCGAAACCGCCGAGCCTTTCGACGTGGTCGGAGCCGCTGGACGGGTACAGGGCTGGTGGAAATGGAGGTGGATGAGTTTTGTCTGGATGTTGTCACAGGCGGTGTTGGTTTCGATGCGGGGGTTCAACGGTAAGCTGGTCTTCGATGAGGTCATCGACGGAAACAAGGTCATCGACAATGGTGAGCATGATCTGCAACTTCTTGATCCCGTAACCAACGGAAACCAATTTCGATGCGCCCCAGAAGAGACCCTCCATCTCGACACTCCGAACAGCCTCATCGAGCTTCTTCATGTCAGTCTCATCGTCCCAAGGCTTGACATCCAAAAGAACAGAGGATTTTCCACTCTCCTTATTTGTAGACGCCTTTTTGGCTGCCGCCAACTCCGCCTCGACAGCTATGAAATTCTTCCGGCGACCGTTGGATCTTCGCCATGTGTCTCTTGCCCTCTCCCTATCTCGGGTTTCTGAAAACGTTGATATTTGGTGCCTCAAAACATTGATATGAGGCGGTCGTAGATCTGCTCACCGCTGAATGTAACGAGAGCGATGCCGAGGCCAGGAGTGGCGTGGTGGAGCTGATTGGAAAGCACGGGGTGCTTCATCTACTCGTCCCTCATCCTAAAGAAATCCCATGTCGTCCCCAGCGTCTTCTTACACGCTTTACGTATCCATGGTGCAGCATCAGAAACAAGGTGTACTCGAATAAACTATGTTCCTCGCTGATCCAGCAACATAACATGAAATTCTTCACCTGCTTTACGTATCCATCCACTGGATTTAGTTGGTCGGGGGCCTCAGATCCAAGTCCACCTTGTAGATATAATAGGTATGGCAATTGTTGTTCTTCTTTACTAACTGAAACAACTTCGCGAGCGAAGACTGAGATCTTAGGCGAAGCGGTACGATCGACGGAGCAGTCAAGGGGCACAGTGAATCGGTGGTCTCGGAGTCGGAGCTCCGGCACCGAAAACCATTTCTCGGCAGCATGGTCTGGCGATGATACGGCAGACGTGGCGGTCTGTACAGACATGGCTGTTACCGTACGGAGTGAGCTCCGGCTTCGACCCGACTTCCAGTCTGAACCGGAACGGCGATCCAAACTTGACAATGTCCTCCACGACGAACCGGTCCTGGTTGCATTTCACCCGGTACACGCCCTGGTAGTGGGAGCCGTAGTCGTGGGAGCCGTAGTCGTGGGACCGGATTGCCAGATCGAAGGCGTCCTGGAGCGATCGAGCCTGTTCTTGAGCACATCGGGCAGGCGATCAATGAGCGGTAGCTGCAACCCGAGCCCACAGTCCGGTTTCGGATCCAAAAACCTCTTCACGATCTTCAGCAAATCGATCTCCTGGTGTGGCATTTGACGGAGGCAATGGTCAACGGGAGTGGAAGACGGCATAGGAAATCTTGGGGTGGACCCGGAAGCAGCACTGAAGTAGTTATTTGACAACGAGGAGTTCCCAGAGGACGACGTCGTTGAGGCGGCGGAGGCCGACGAAGTTGAAGGGGATGAAATGCTTTTGGGTGTCCTGGCAGTGGGGATGAGTGAGTGATTAGAAGATGGGGTTGGAGTTGTGTGCTCTGCTGGGCTGCACTGTGGGCCAAGGAGAAATGAGGAAGAAGACAAGCTGGAGTTTGGGCCCGTTGTGGCTTGAGCCATTTTGCTGCTGGGAGAGACATATATATATATATATTTTTTATATATATATATATTTTTTATTTTTTTTTTTTTTTTTTTTTTTTTTTTTTTTTTTTTCTAAATATTTAAAAATTGTCTCTTTTTTTTTCTTTTTTTTTTTCAATTTTTTTTTTTTTTTTACAAATAATTTCTAATTTTTTAAAGAAAAAAATTTTCAAATTTTTAAAAAAAATTAAATATTGAAATTTTTTTTTTTTCTTTTAAAATTAATTTTAACTTTTTTTAAAATTGAAAATTTTTGCAATTTTTGATAAGAAACTGCATTTTTATTTTGTACCCCTCTTTGAAGATCAATTCGTAAAGTAATTCAATAAAAACAATAAATATTATTTTTTTTAATTTTCTAATTTGAATTTTAAATTTTTTTTCATTTTGATGCAGGACGTAACTCGAAATTTCGTTTCAAGCTTGCCTACGATTTTCGTGGTGATTGTTTAGAACTCGTTCAAAGGAAACATGATTTTTATATTTTTCAAAGCTTTGGTGCCTATGCAGTTTCAGCTTCATAAAGGTGCTTCCAGAGTTTTGCCGTGCACTTTGGTTCAAAGGAGCGTTGCGTTTTTGCAGTTTAGGCTCGTTTTCGGACAAGGAGCTTTGAGTTTCAAATGAACTCGTGCAGAGCCGTTGGACCATGCAGCCTGCAGTTTTATGCTGCAGGCAGAGGAGCCTTGAGTCCTTGCAGTTAGGCTCACGTGGACAAGAGCTTGTGTTTTGATCTCAAGCGATCAGGAGAAAATCCTTCCTCGAAATCTTCATTTCAAGCCTTATTCAGGAAAAAGAAATCACGCATCGTGATGGGGATGGACGATCTATATGTGTCGATTTCATCATCTTCAACACGTTCACGTTGCTTTGAAGGTTGACAAGAGCTGCTTTGCCCCCTTTCCGATTGGCGGACTTGTGGAGGAGACGTATGCTTCTTGTGCAACTTTCTTATGAGTGACTTGAGTCCATCCTTCAACTTTGCTTGTCTTGGAGGATGCCCCCAGCGGTTGAGGTGAAAACTTTGAATCGGAAGAGCCAGAAGTGAAGGTGGTATAGTTTGACTTCACCACATCGTCCAAGATCTAGCTCGATGATTCCTTTCTGAGCCAAGCTTCATGATGAGATCTTTCAGCACAAAATCACTTTTCTGTCGGATGACTGATGAAGCGGTGGAATTTACAGTATCTTGGACTGTCAGTACGATTCATCTCTTCCGGCCGTCTGCACTCAGGCAAACTGATCACCTTCTTGTCCAACAGGTCATCCTAACATGGCAACCACATCAGAGTCGGGGAATGGATAAATCTTCTCCTCAAGCTCCTTCAAAGTGCGTCTACGCATCTCTTGATCACGAAAAGCTTCGGTTTGAATCGCCTTGCCTCGTGTGGAGATTTTGACGGGAGCTGTGTTGACCGTCATCGCTTCCTTGGTGGGTTTCCATGCAGCCTTTTCCACCTTTGTCCTCAAGAAGCTTTGTCGTTTTTGTAGTTGGCGATCGATTCCTTCTTCCCATGATGGGCGATGCTCAACTCCATGTCATGGGCGCGAGTGGCCAATTCCTCAAAGGTCCGTGGTTTAATGCCTTGAAGGATGTATTGCAAACCCCATTGCATGCCTTGGACGCACATCTCGATTGAAGAGGTTTCCGAGAGCCTGTCTTTACAGTCGAGGCTTAGAGTGCGCCACCTGTTGATGTAGTCAATGACTGGCTCGTCCTTCCACTGCTTTGTGCTCGTTAGCTCTAGCATGCTCACAGTGCGGCGGGTGTACTATAGAAGCGGTTGAGGAATTCCCGCTCTAATTGTTCCCAGCTGTTGATGGACTCAGGCTCTAGGTCTGTGTACCACTCAAAGGCGTTTCCTTTCAGCGAGCGCACAAACTGCTTGGCGAGGTAAGTCTCCCTCCGTTCCCTGCGTTGTTACAAGGTTTCAACGAAGTGGGCAACGTGCTGTTTCGGGTTTCCCTTTCCATCAAATTGCATGAACTTTGGTGGTTGATAACCCCTCGGCATCCTTAAGGCGTCGATCTTCTTTGAATACGGCTTTGAGTACAACCCGGAGGTATTTGAGCTCCCTTCGTACTGTGCCTTGATGGTGTTGGTGATCATCTTTTTGCAGCTGCTGGATAGAAAGAGATCCCATGAGTGCCGCTGTTTGGTCTGGCTCGGCTTCGCATCGTTTTTCTCCACCTGAGGCTCATCTTCTGGGTTAGGGTTCTCGTCGTCCTGTGGCTCCAGTCGGCTGACGAGTGCAGCGATTTGCAAGTCTTTTTCTTCCACAATTCGGGTTAGCCTTGCTATTGCTTTATTCATCTGAGCCAGTTGTTCTTCAACGGAGGTAACGCCGATAGTCATGACTTGTGCGACCAATAGACGTGACTTTCCTTTAGACATCCAGGATGCTGATGAAGAACGTCGTTGGCTGCTTTGGATGTCATCTTATGCCCAGGCATCAGCGAGGCATTCGTGATGCTTCGTGTTGGTGCCCCCATCTTGGTCAGCCCCAGCAGTGAGGGACAGGTTGATGAACGACTTCACATTGGCTTGCTTCCCTCTTTTAGCGGCACCAATTTTGAAGTGGCATGTTGAGGAGCGGTTTGTGTGGCCAATGGATTGTCCGTTTGCGGCAGAAGTGCTTAGGATCCTTCCCTCAATGGTTGCAAGAACGGCTTGTCCCTTACTTGATGCCATTGACTTTGAGGTGTGCTTGGATTCCTTGAACGGAGAAAGAGATGAGAGGTAGAGATTGTCCCACTGGGCGTGCCAATTTGTGAACACGGAAAATTCCTGAAACGAAAGAGACAAGAACAACGCGCACAAACAAAATATTTGGTGTTTGATGATTTTGGGTTACAATCTCTCTCTATTTTGATCCTCTGATTCGATCTCCGTAAGGTATTGATTTGTGGATGTGTCCTTGATCCAAGGGTCGTCGAGGCTTGATCTTGGATGAACTGTTGGAAGTTTCTTCAAGGGGCCGTGGGCTTGATCTTTGAAGGTGGATTTGAGCAGATCTTCAAAGGGGCTTTTGGGCTTGATCTTTGAAGAACAGTGACGAACGGATCTCCAAGGGCTTTTGGGCTTGATCTTGAAGAACAGTGATGAACGGATCTTCAAGGGCTTTTGAGCTTGATCTTGAAGAACGGTTGGATGTGTGGATTTGTCGACGTTGTTGATCCAAAGGGCCGTTGGGGGCTTGATCTTGGATGAACGGATGATGAACGATGGTGCTTTCTTCAAGGGCCGTCGGGGCTTGATCTTGAATTGGTGGATGGTTGATCCAAGGGGCCGTTGGGGCTTGATCTTGGAAGAACGATGAACGAAGAACGAGGAACACTTTCTTCAAGGGGCCGTCGGGGCTTGATCTTGAATTGGTGGATGATTGTTGATCCAAAGGGCCGTTGGGGCTTGATCTTAGGATGAACGATGAACGAAGAACGCTTTCTTGATTCTTCGGGAACCTGGATGCTTGAGAGCTTCGGAGTTTCAGAGCTTCAGAGCTTCAAGAGTTTTGCCTAATGATTTTTGGTCCCCCCTAAATGAATGAAATGGGCTTGTATTTATAGAAATTTCCAAGGCCTAATTTTGAATATAATATTCCAGATGAAATAAGTTGTTTCTGCCAGGTGTTGACACGTGTCTTATTTGATGACTTTTCCAACTCATTTCAATTTTCGTCGAGTCACACGCAACGTGTAAAATTTATGTAATACATGAGCGTTGACACTTTGATTTATCGGTCAACATTTATTTACCGAAATTTCGATGTCTACAAAAGTATTGCAAGTCTTTTGAGTTTATAATTAAACATCGAAGTCTCATGTTCACCCCCCAAATAGCCTCGCATAGTGATCATAAAGCGCAATTTAAATGATTGCCCAAATTTTGGTGAACGTACCAAGTTTTTGGTTTCTGCCTAG